TGTTAAACAAATATCAGCAGTTTCAATTAGACTTTCAATTTGTTTTTGATTATTTTCAATTGTTAATTCTATATTACTGATTTTTTGAACCAACAGCTTAAAATCTTCTTTAGATAGAAGAACTCCTTCTTCAGTGATATTAATGTTAATGCCTCTTAGAGAAGGATTGTTGTTCACATTTTCCATTTCACTATTGTCTTCATTATAACCTTTTGCTTCTAATCTTCTACGTTTAGTTGGTTCAACATACTTCATATAATGGGTAAAACAAAGTTGATCACCAATTTTTAAAAAATTAAAATCTTCCCAATTTGGATGTTCATGTAATTTTTTCAATGCAATATCAGTAATTCTTCTAAATTTATCAACATCAACAGTACTTTTACAATCAATGATTACACAAGGGCCTTTATTTTGAGTATTTTTAGGCATTATTATATATGATTTAATTAAATAAAGTATGTTTGACTTTTTTATTTTGTAGTTTGGATTTTTATTTTGAAAATTTACAAAGTTTTGTCTTTTTTTATAGTTTTTTTTTTTTTACTAATACAATAGCAATCAATAAGTTATCTTCTATTTTAGCATTTGTCCGAAGATTTAAATTTGTAATGTTTACCCGAAAAGTCTAATTTTAGCATAATAATATTTAAATTCAGAGTTCGCCCGAAAAATCTAGTTTCAGCAATGATCATCGAGCCAATAGCATAGTGGACTTTCGATACTATCACTAAACGTGATATAAAGTGACGATCATTTTTATACTGTGTAACTAATGTATTTAATTGAAAAAGTACTTTAAAACTTTAATAACGTGATATGAAAATCCTACTAAAAAATATGACGTGAAACCTTGCATATATATTCTTTATATGCTTGTTATATTGTTAGTTCTTTCCCATCAAGTCCATCAAGTTTGGTCATGGAGATGATTAAGAAGCAGATTTTCTAAGTTTACAATAGTAAAGCTGCGTAGAGTTTTCTGAAATTGTTATAATTTCACATATTTTTACTTAAACTATTTACTTATTCGTTTATTTATTTATTATTTTATAGCTTTAATAAATTTAATGGATTTAATATATTCAATAGCTTTAATAGAGAATGAATGGTAACAATTAAAATATCAAAAGATAATTTATGAATCAATATACATGAATGGGTGAATGAATACAAATTAATTTTATAAGGATAATTGAAAATTTCAACCACAAATGTATTAAGATTTTACATATATATATTTTATTGAAATAATAAATAATAATATTACCAATCTTTTACATTGTCAATGGCTACTTGTATTTCGTATGAAATTTCATTCAAGTTATTAGGATCAATAATTACATCATCTTCTTCATCACAATCATCTACTTCCAAGTTTTCATCTACATCTTCACTAGTAAGTTCATCATTTTTATTTAATCTTTTTAAAAAAGATTTAACATTTTCATCAATCCCCTTTTCATAATATTCTTTACACCATTTACAAGTCTTGTCTAAAAGATTATAACATCTGTTATGGTAACCATGTCCACAAATTAGGATAATTACTTCGTTTGTACTATTGGATAAAGCTTGCCTGCAATGATCACAAATTCCAGACGATGGTGTACAAGTAGTATGATAACCAGTTGGCAGACATTTTCTATCAACAATACATTCAAGTGATGCTAAATAATATGGTGGGAAGTTTTTCTTAAAAGGTCTCTCAATTTGATGCTCTGGAATTTCATAACTTTTTTTTTTATTATTATATATTTTTTTAAAATAGGATAATAAATAAAGACTAGTTTTTTGTATGAGAAATTCAATCTGATGTGGTTCGTATGGATACTGGTAGGCTTTTTTGAATGTATCAATGAAAACTGATTTATGAGAATCTAAATTTTTTAAAAAAAATTCAGCTGAATAAATATTTACAACTTACCAATTATATATATGCTTGATCAATAATAGATTCAACAGATTGATTTATGTTGATATTGGCACGTAATTTACTATGGAAATTTTCAACATAGTATTCATTAAAATTAACAAGGTATTTTTCTAATGCTTCTGCCATAGGATGATTATTTTCTTTCCAGTAGATATAATCTGAAATAAATGCTAATGGAATTTTGTTATAATTTTTTCTTTTCCATCTAAGTGCAAATATCCAAATTTTCTAGATATTCTTCAAATTTACCAGAACGAAAAAGAATTGCATAAATGTCTAAAGTGGCTGGTATTATATTTTCCAGAAGGTCAAGTGCCATTATATATTCAACATCTTTGCATACATTTCCAAATTTACATTTGACAACTTGAGAAATTTTTTCCATACCTTTAGCAGCTAACTCTAACAATAAATTTATCCTCCATGGCATAGGTTTTTTTGCTAATACTTTATTATCACCAAAAACATGATGAAACATTTACAAGAACTGTTTGCTCACGTGAATTCAAGGAAACATGAAGGGGACCCAGAAGTGGAACAAAATTTTTCACATTTAAATTATTTAAATTTTGATTTTCATTTTTTAATCAATTTTCAAAAAAATAATTGTCCAGGGAAGTCAGCAACAATAAGTATGGCATTTTGTTGAAGATATACTGATAATTCAGAAAGATTTGTGATCATTGAAGAAGCTTTAATATAATCCTCTAAAGAATGTAAATTTCCCTCCTGCAACCCTACAATACGAACATCATTCATTGATCTTTCTTCATGTTTCCCTCTAATAAGATCACGATACACATGTACAGTAAGAAGCTCCTCATTATTAAAAGAATTAAAGGTATTTAAATCATTAGAGATCCATTCCCTTTTTCTAACACTGTAGCAAATATCAAAAATTCCTTTATATTTAGTATTAAGATAATCTTTAATTTTATTTCCTTCAATATTGTTAGGATTATGTACATGAATTCCATTATTTATTGCTAATACTGGAGGACATTCAACTTTTTTAGATACACAGCTAGCAAAATGTTTTTACTGTTGATAATGATGTAGCATCAGGTCTTCTTTTTTCATGTATATCATGAAAATCATCAATATTAACAACATGAAGACAATCTATCTAAAAACATAAATGAAAGATCAATTATTTTATAATTT